CTTAGAGCCCTCGGTCCTGCTGTGTTGCAGTGGCACCAGAGCTCTCACAATGCCCAGCTCTGGTGAAGGATGTTTCTGAACAAGGGATGAAACCTGGGCTAATTGCGTGGAGATAATACTGGGCAGTTTGCTGAGCTAGCAGAAGGAAGTATCCTTGGGCAGAGGTAGAAAATATCCATTATTCCTGGTACTTCAGTTGCTGCACTGAAGGGTTGCTTCCCAAAAGCAGATCACAGCCCCTGTGAGTGAGGCACTGTCCTGGCGAGACATTCCCTGCATTGCACAGTACTCTGTGAAGTCTCCCTGAGGGAACAAAACTCTACTGGTGTGATACTGTAGTGCCAAGGTTTTGTTTGGATGCTCCTGGTTCCTTTCTGATCTCTACGTGCAAAAGAGGAGGGGACCTCAGTCTGGGAAGGGACTCTGGGTGCTCCCATGGCAGGAATAACTAAGGATTGTCAGGGATCAGCTGTGGAGGAGACAAAGAGCAAAGACTGTTCACCTGAATGTGAAAATAAGATGACTTATTGATCATAGGCAGGAGCATTGAGCCAGCATTGTCAAGAGGGGAGGCTGGAAGAGCAGTTACTGTGAAATATGTGTTACTCAAACATGACTTCTGAGAGCTACTACTCCCAAATATTTGGATTTGGTTTTGTTTTTTGGAAGGAAAAAAGGCAACACCAGACAGTTCTCAGATCTATGAAGAGTGGAAACTATGCTGATAGATTTTGGTTGTGTTTGGGATTGTTTCCCTGTTCTGGGTATGATATGTCTTTGTTTTAAGCCTCACCCCTTTTTGTCTGCATATTATCTAGTGACTTTACAAGTGGTTTTCCAGGGTGATTTCTATTGTCTGTACACCGTTCTCAGTTGGTTTGGGCAGTCACTGTTTGGGTTTGGTTACTCATTTGTTTGCTCTGCATCTCCAGGGCTGAGATGAATGAATTGCCTGTGCCCTTTTCAGCTGGGCTTGGCACCAGCCTTTGGTGTCTCTGCTGGTGCTCTGTGACTTCCTTGAAGGTTTTTTGGGATTTGCAGAGGTGTAAGAGATTGTCCATCTCATGGCCATGGACTTCCCAGAGATTAGGATTAAACCCCTGTAAGAAGCTTACTGTAAAATTCCGTAGGGCTGGAAGAGTTGCTGCAGAGCAAATTAAAATCTGGCATAAAGTATGAGCCGTGGCTATTACAGCCAGTCCTGCCTGGGGCTGTGGATTCCCCGGACCTGCATGTGCCCTCCGTGCCCTCCTGGGCCCTCTGGCTGTTGCATAACACAGCAATCAGCCCTGTGCTGACATTAGTGCTGGATATTAGTGTTCTTCTGGGGGATTTGGATAAAACCAGCTCTCTGGGCTGGAGGTGGGGACTAAATGGCTTTTAATGGCATTAGTGGAAAGGCAAACTTTGCTGCTCAGGGGGAGTGAATGGCCCAAGCCAGGGTGTTGAGGAGAGCACAGAGAGCTGAGACTGTCAGGGCTTGGCGTTCGGTCCAGGGTTTGATCGGATCCAGAGCGTTTCACTGCTTGGCTCGGGGAAGGTTAATTGTGTAAGGTGGGGGCTTTTTTGGGAAGGAACCATCAGCCCAGCACCGCCACCGTGTTCACCACTGAACCACGTCAAGGGCCATACGCAGATGTTTTTTGAACCCTTCCAAGGATGGTGACTCCACCACTGCCCTGGGCAGCCTGTGCCAGTGCTTCACAACCCTTTGCAAAGCACCAGTAACCCCCAAAATACTGAATGCAGGGGACAAGAGCTGATGTTGCACTTGAAAAAGGAACTCCTGTGTTTTACGGGTTCCTTTTATCTCCTCAAGCTTAATTTCAGCTTAATGCAGTTGATGCATATCATTTATATACCCAGTTTCTATCCTCTTTCATAATTACACTTCTCAGTGTTTGGTAATGCTCTTTATACCTTATTTAATCTTTTTGTTTTGTCAGATGGCTGTAACATTAGGTCCATAAGAGCAAGACATGAGGCCAAACCTTTTGTCATTTGATTGCACTTTGAAATATTAATTTCTTAATGTATAGTAGTATAATAGGAAAAAAACCCAAACTGTATTTGTGGACAGCAGTAAGAAATTTGTGTTCCATCCTGACCTTGCTGTAGGCTCTTGGCAATAGAGTTTTGCTACTAATGCTCAGGTAACAGTGTTTCCTTGACTAGCTAACCCCCAAAATATGGCAGGACAAAGTGCCCCCTGTTTGTTTAAGTTTGGTGAAGGTGTTTTCTGGAGGGGCTCTTGCTTTCCCTGCTGGACCGGGCCCTGCAGAGCAAAGTGCATTTCCAGTTTGCTGAAATGCTGCTCAGTGTAATGCTTTCATCCTCTGAACATTTCCCTTGTGGTGCTGACTGAAGGGTCCTGCACATCCTAGAGCCTTGGTGGGGAAGCCACACAACTGTGACTGTTGGGAATGAAATCCAGTGAATGCCGACCCCTGGAGAACTGGGAAAGGCAGTTAAACTGTGAGCACAGTGTAAATTCTGGGAGGGCTTCCTGTGGGGAGGATGCTGAGCCATCCCCTGGTCATCAGGGATTGCGTGTGGGGATAGATTAGAGCCGAGCTGGAAGGCAGCACTGCCCATTTGGGATGGATTAGTGCTGCTGGAGCAGTCAGAGCTGCAGCTGCAGGGGGGTCACCCTGCGGGAGGAGCAGCGTGCCCAGGTACAGCGAACAGCACCTGCCCCACGGGTGGCATTCCAGGGAACACCCCACTTCCCGGGGCTCCATGGCCTTCCTGCTGGCTTCAGAGGTGTCCCACGTGCTGGGGAGCGTGGCCACTCCAGAGGCAGTCGAGCTGGCACAGATGGGTTTGTATCTGCTAGTCCTTGTGTACCATCTATTGGGAGCCATGTCTTGCTTCTGCAAATTTTGATACCCGTCTCCTTCGAAGAGCTGTCTCATTTACTCTGTATTCCTGGTTTATCTACAGGAGTAGATGTTTTTCTGGAACTAGCCTCCCTGTTTCTCAGTGAAAGCCTCCCTGAGCTGCTCTTCTGGAGCTTTATTCTGCCCTGCCTGTGCTCAGTGCCTTCCCCTGATTCAGATGCTAATGTGCGGTGTCTGCCGAGACTGGAATTAGCATTTTGAGAATAGATTGGGAAAAGATCTTTTTTTATTTGCGTGCTTATATTTTATAAATAGCCTAAAGGGGAGGATGGGGTGTTTTGTAAATGGTTTGCAGAGCTGAAATCCAGTGGGCCTATGACTGCTGTGGCATTTCCATTACCTCAGTCTGTTCTTTAACTGAGTTCTTTGTTATTAACACCTCCACAGCAGGGGTGATGCAGTGAACTCTCTTACACATTTACTATTCTTTAAATGTTGGAGTTCTGATGGTATTCCTGTGGAAGGCAAGCAGAAAAGGTGGTGTTTCCTTGGGCACTAACTTCATGCAGGTGGTGGTTGAGAAGTGGAGACTGTTGAGATCCTGGGCAGGAACTGGGTTCCTTCTGCTCTTCTCTGTCTGTGCAAGAAAGTGTTTTAAAATCTATTCCATATAACTTCTTGATTCTGAGGTCAGTCTGAAAGCATGACTGTGAAATGCACCTCTAACAATTACAAATGGGATGTAGAAATGTTTAGGCAATTGATGTGGTGAAGAAGGAACTGGATTGCCTTTTATGTTTTTTTTATTTCCCCTGTGGTTGGGTTGGCTCTAACTGTCTGAGTGTGGCACATCTTTTGCCTGTCTTCCAGTAAATAAATGTAGTCTTTCCCTTCTGCCTTTTGCTGGCTGTCCTAAACAGCATATTAATGCAAACAGAGTTTGGTGGTTCTTTTTCTCTGCCAGCTGAACTGATTCTAACAGAGACTTGTTTGAGAATGTGATGCTTTCAGGAGAGTTTGGTTCTGTTCAGCTCAGCCTGAATCCTCTCATTCCTCCTGGAAAGACGACTCGGGCAAAACACTGTTCTGGTGGAGTTAATCCATGTGCAGCTTGGCTGTGCCAGCTCCCTGTGAGTGAGGGAGCTAGAGGAGGTCACTGCACCCACAGTGTCTGCTCATCCCCTGCCTGACCAATGTTTAGATGCTGCTCCAGCTGCTTGTGACATGTGTCAGAGGAGTTGGGAGCTGCGAAAAGAAATCCCAGCTGTGGCAGAGAGGAGTGGGAGGGTGACTTAGACTTTGTTGTGATACTGAAGAGAGAAGTGGTGGAGAGAGGAAGAGTGATAAGAAAGGGTGATAAGAAATACAGACCCAGAGAGTATATTTGGGAGTCAGCCAGAGTGTAAACAAATCACCCAGGAGGTGAATTTGGAGTGATACCAAGCGAGGAGAGGCTGTGAATGGATACAGCCAGGAGAAGGTAACTGAAGAGCATGGATATATACTGAGATAAGAGGAAATGTTATCTTGATCCTAGTGTTTGGAAGGCTGTAGGAGGGAAGATGTGAGGTGAAATGGAAGTGACGGGTTTATTTTAGTCAAAACAGAGAAACAAAGCTACACCCTCCGGATGGGATGGGTGGATAAAAGGGAGTCATCACAGCCTGTGCTTGAAGTCTGGTAGCAGGATGGGGAGGGTGTGAATGTGTGTGGGGAGGAGGGATTGTCTGGCTATAATTCTGTGAGCAGCTCTGCCAACATCACCACCACAAGATACAGAGCCCAAAGAAATGAGGAGTTTGAATGATGATCTCACCAGTCCAAATTCATGGAGTGCTGGGGTTTAAAATATGTGCTGTGTATGATGTTATTAAAAAATCTAAAAGAGATAAGCATGGAACAACTATAAAATATTTTCCTCAACATAGGGTAAAGTTTTCCTTGCTTCCTTTGTTGTGAAGGTGTTCTGCCAGATGAGTTATTCCATTTTCCTATGTGGAGAAGTTAGTGGAGAAGGAATTGTATGTCTCACAGCACTGACCGGCTTGCCAGTAATGGTGCCAGTCAAAAGTGTTCAGTGTTGGCAGATGTTGGAAGTAAGTCATGTTACTGGTGGAATTAGATGGCCATTCAGCTGAACTTTCCTGCTCTGCTTCACAGTTGAAAGATGCATGAGTGTCATGCAGTCTGGGACTCAGATGGTTAAGCTGAAGAGTGGAACCAAAGGGCTGGTCCGGCTCTTCTACCTGGACGAGCACAGGACCTGCATCCGATGGAGACCCTCCAGGAAGAGCGAGAAGGCAAAAAGTAAACTGCTCTTATTTCTGTTATTTCTGGGGCAGTTCAGAATAGAATGGGAGTTACAGAGGGATAATGAAATAAATTATTTTTGACGCTGCTTTTAAG